CGTCCTGCCCGTGCTGAACTCCTTCAGTTTGTCCTTGTCGCTCTCTACGTGGTCTTTGAAAAGATGCACCGGGCAATGGTTGCTGCTCTCGGTCATGTCCTGCAGGTTAGAGTCAGAGTTTCCAAGCTCCCTAGAGCGAGCCAACCCACTCTCCAAAACTTCCCTGTACGTGATCGTCTCCTTCTTGTTGCTGCTGCCACTGCCGCTGCTGCTCTCTTTGCTTTTCTGGTCAAAAGATTTGGATACAAAAGCCGTAAGTTCTTCCATGGCTGCCCGGTGCTCTTATCCACAGAGATCCACTTGTTTTCAGTTGGAGATGTGGCCGTCCTCCGCACGCTGTTTTTGCACGTAGAAGATGGGCTGTATAGGGTTAGATCACTCCTGCTGTTATTTATGCCTTTCAATTTGAGATCACACTATTTATACATGGCTACCTCAGCCCAACCCCCAGCTCTCCCTGTCTCCAGCAATTACTGACTGCTCCATAGTCGCAGGCGGACTCCTAGCAGCTATCTCCCCCACCTCAGTCCAGCAATTGGCTTTCTTTTCATTTCATCACTCTTTGGCATCTCTGCACCTTGATTTAGGGAGGCAAAGAGGCAAAAGCGAGAAAGAGGGGGAGAGAGAGAGGGAGAGAGAGGAATAAAAGGGAGGGGGGGAAGAGGAAAACATGAAAATAGGTATCTGCATTCTGTAAATGGGTTGCAGAAATGAAAGTCGAGGAAGACTTAATTGATTGTAAGGACATCCTGTGCGTGGCAACACCGTGAGTAAAAACGGACCCACAGCTAATCAAATAACTGTGCTCCTGCAATTAAATGTATCGCTGTCAAGAGGAAAAGAAAATGAGTGTTCAATAAAAAAGGTAATGAATAAAAAGCCGGAGATGTGCGTTTGTTGTAATCATTGGAGATTCTACCTGACTTGCTATTTAGCTAATTTCGCTTAATTAAATGGTCAAAATAATCAGCGAACCAAAAATGCTGTTTTGAAAGTGTTGCCTGTTCGGGCGGGCGGGCGTGTTTTTTGCAACTTCTCAAAATTGGTCACACTTCCCCGAGCTACACAAAGCAGCTGTGCATAGGCTCATTAAACAAGTTGCGAGGTGTCTCGGAGATCCGTGTCGGTGTGTTCGGAGGGTTTGGAGGGGGCTGCTTGGTTGGGGGTTTTATCCATAGGTAGGGGGGCTCTCCAGATGCGCGTAAACATTGCAGGATCTGTTCTCTTGTTTACTGTTATTATGTCGTCTGAAGATACTGTTGGGGAAAATTAAAATCTAAAACGTTTCTTTGGATGTAGAGCTACCCCGCTGCGTGCAGTAGAGGGGTAATTTGTTAACACGAGAGTTTGCACACGACAAATAGAGCATTAAATCGTCTGTCTTTTTTTTTTTTTTTTTTAACGAAACGTATCCTGCCGGATTTAAGATAGGACTGGCTATGATTTTCCCACCTTGTTCTTGGTAGGCTGCTGTTATTTTTGTTGCACTCCCGGAATAATTATAATTCTGTGCGCTTGAATAGCTGCCTGAAATTCATCTCCAGATAACAGCGCCGGCATTTCTAGCGCCTCTCCGCACCACTTGATCCGCAAGCGGAGCCGACTTTCCAGCTATTTATTTCTAAATCCTCTCCTCGGGCTTTAACGCGAAGGGTTATCTGGTATTTGGAGGAATTTTGTCTTCTGGTCGTTTGGCTTTTTACGTCCTTCTCGTTCCCTCGCCTCGAGTTTGAGATAATCAGAGCCCATCGTCACGCCACCCTCTGCTCCGAACCGCAACCAAAGGAGGCTCCTTGCTGGAGCAAGGGGCTATTTTTATTTCTACCTCCTCTCCTCGGGCTTTAACGCGAAGGGTTATCTGGTATTTGGAGGAATTTTGTCTTCTGGTCGTTTGGCTTTTTACGTCCTTCTCGTTCCCTCGCCTCGAGTTTGAGATAATCAGAGCCCATCGTCACGCCACCCTCTGCTCCGAACCGCAACCAAAGGAGGCTCCTTGCTGGAGCAAGGGGCTATTGTTTCTTTTGCGGGGGAGCGTGGGACCGCTCTGAAAATTAGCAGAACATTAAAACACTAAAAATACGTTTAATTAATCCAAAGGTGCCCCCAGCACCAGAGTTAACACCTCCACAGGAGGAGGGGAAAAAATAATAATCGAGGAAGCAATTAATAAAGGGCTTTAAAAAAAAATCAATCTCCCCCTGTGCGAATTTAAAATGATTATCCAGGGGACAAGGATTGATCATTTGATCTCGGCACTGCGGATATCCCTGACATTTATTATAGCGTTGTGTCTCGGTGGCATCCTTCCTCCAGAGTTCATTTAACAAGTGAGGGAGCCGAGGAAGCCTCACAACTTAACAAACAGGTCTTGTCATCGCAGACGCCAATCAAATCCGAGGCTCTAATGTATATCACACGGCACCACATAAATAAGAAAGGCAAACGATAGACGTGGAAGTAACGTATGGCCGAGAAAAGACCCCGGCACGACACGCTTGCTTGTGCCTCTCCCGTGCAGTCTGCCCGTGTTAAGGGCTCGCGGCGGACCGTTGCACGCGCCGGTGGCGCGGCGCGTGAGGCGAGGGTGTCACGGACACACGCACACGCGGGGGCACGGGCACCCGCCCCGCGGGGGAGAGGCTCCGCG